ACTAGAACAGAACTTAGAACAGAACTAGAAACAGAACTAGAACAGAACTAGAACAGAACTAGAACAAGAACTAAACAGAACTCGAACCGAACTAGAACAGAACTAGAAACAGAACTAGAACAGAACTAGAACAGAACTAGAACAGAAACTAGAACAGAAGCTAGAACTAGAACTAGAACTGAGACAGAACTAGAACAGAACTAGAACAGGAACTAGAATAGAACTAGAACAAGAACTAGAACAGACTAGAACAGGAACCTAGAACGAAACTAGAACAGAAGTATAACAGAACTAGAACAGAACTAGAACAGAACTAGAACAGAACTAGAACAGAATTAGAACAGAACTAGAACAGATCTAGAACAGAACTAGAACAGAACTAGAACAGAACTAGAACAGAACTAGAACAGAACTAGAACGGAACTAGAACAGAGCTAGAACAGAACTAGAACAGAACTAGAACAGAACTAGAACAGAACTAGAACAGAACTAGAACAGAACTAGAACAGAACTAGAACAGAACTAGAACAGAACTAGAACAGAACTAGAACAGAACTAGAACAGAACTAGAACAGAAGTATAACAGAACTAGAACAGAACTAGAACAGAACTAGAACAGAACTAGAACAGAATTAGAACAGAACTAGAACAGAACTAGAACAGAACTACAACAGAACTACAACAGAACTAGAACAGAACTAGAACAGAACTAGAACAGAACTACAACAGAACTAGAACAGAACCAGAACAGAACTAGAAAAGAACTAGAACAGAACTAGAACAGAACTAGAACAGAACTAGAACAGAACTAGAACAGAACTAGAACAGAACTAGAACAGAACTAGAACAGAACTAGAACAGAACTAGAACAGAACTAGAACAGAACTAGAACAGAACTAGAACAGAACTAGAACAGAACTAGAACAGAACTAGAACAGAACTAGAACAGAACTAGAACAGAACTAGAACAGAACAGAACTAGAACAGAACTAGAACAGAACTAGAACAGAACTAGAACAGAACTAGAACAGAACTAGAACAGAACTAGAACAGAAGTATAACAGAACTAGAACAGAACTAGAACAGAACTAAAACAAAACTAGAACAGAACTAGAAACAGAACTAGAACAGAACTAGAACAGAACTAGAACAGAACTAGAACAGAACCAGAACAGAACTAGAACAAAACTAGACTAGAACAGAACTAAACTAGAACAGAACTAAATTAGAACAGAACTAGACTAGAACAGAACTAAACTAGAACAGAACTAAATTAGAACAGAACTAGACTAGAACAGAACTAAACTAGAACAGAACTAAACTAGAACAGAACTAGACTAGAACAGAACTAAACTAGAACAGAACTAAACTAGAACAGAACTAGACTAGAACAGAACAGAACTAGACTAGAACAGAACTGGACTAGAACAGAACTAGAATAAAACTAGAACAGACATAAAAGGATCTGTAATATAGACCAATGAGTGATCTATAGTCAAGACTATGGAGTTATCTATAGCCCATCTATCTATCTATGTATATAGAGTGATATACTTAAATATACTCCAGCCTATAGAGTGATCTGTACTTCAAAATATAGAGTGCTGTATAGTTAAGACATAGAGTGATCGATCTACAGTTCAGACCTTATTCTGATCTTTACTTTAGACTGATCTGTTTTTTTTACTATTGAGCAGTACAGTAATAAAGACTGATCTGCAGTTCAAAATATTTTTGTTAGTTCATACGACTAACGGCTATTCTCTAGTTGTGAGCTCTCTCTCTCTTCCCCCCCCATAAATTTCTTTTAAGTAATTTAATATCTCCAACTTTCCATGTATTTAAATATTAAGAGTATTATTTCAATTTGTTTATTGAGCATGTGATATTCAATATTTTAAAACGTATTGATTTATTTCTATTGTTTTTTAACCTTTCTCACACTCATTTTACAAAACCAGTTCCTACGACCTCCACCCTCCCCCCAAAAGTAAATTAAGCATAAAAAAAGTTCTTTTTTCAAACATTTAACAAACATGTGTATAAACAAATTGTTGTTAAACTTCCCTGTTTGCCAAACTGAAATGTATTTTAACACTTCAATGGTAAAATGCATAAAATTTGAGAATAAATAGTATACAATTTCAATATGACTTGTTACCTTTTGTTGAAAGGTTGTGAGAGAGGTGAAAAAGGAACAAACATTTTTGAAATACTATAATAATTTTAGTGCTTTTTTGAAAAGAACAAAAAAATGGGTATTATTTTAAAAGGGCTAAAGCTTATAGATAACATGTAGTTAAATAAACAAACCCTAAAATTATGCTATATATTTTAAAACGTAGAATGGCTCATGTTGTATGTAATACATAATGGTAGTTTTAGTTACTTCTGTAAATTGAAGTTAACTTATTTCAAAGATCATTTTTAACTTAAACATTTTGAGAAAATTGTAATAAACTTCAGTTTTAGGGGGTAGCTGCTACCTTCTTCATGAGCCCAGCTAATGTTTATAGTTTGTCAAAAGGTGAATAACTTAAGCAACCCTTTTTCTGTCTTATTATGTCTTTCCTTTAAGGGTAAATATTTAGTATTGTAGTTAAAATTCTTTAACTACCAACAACAAAACAATTAAAAGCACAACATACAAACATACTAACACATCGAAAGACTGTAATTTGCCATTTACACCCAACAAATTTCTAAATTAATTTCTTAGGTTTTGAAATAAGACACTCAAACTGTCTGGCTGTTTTTTTTAAACTAGAAAGCGAAAAGTAAAATTGTAATTTATTTTCGTTTTAAATAAATAACAACCTTGAATTTTTAATCAATTTTTAAAGGGAATTTTTCTTTAACAATAACTTAAGTTATTTTCTCTCTTCTAATTTTCCATTTGTTTTTCATATTTTAAACATAATTTATGTGGCATATTTAACATGCCACTTAGCTTTTTCAGTTGACACATTTTTCATAATAAACTTTACCGTCTGTTTCTTTTAGTAAAACGTTTTGTGCTTGTTTTTTGTGTATTTCTTAATCAACTTTTCATTTTTAGCTTTAATATACCTGTCACTTGCTAAAAGAACATCATGGAGCTGTTTATTAGATTAATATGACTTGTCTTGTCATAAAAATATTTAACAAAATATCAAAACACATGAATTTTTCTAGGGAGGTTAGAGAGGTTCAGTGGCTGTGTAATAGTTAGTGATGAAAAATTAATGGAATTTTTTGCGTAAATTCCAAACAAGCAAGTATTTTGTTCAATATTTAGCCCTTAGAGGTTCAATGCCTGATATATGTTTGTCTTACTATAGATTAGTCTATAGTCTGAACTATGAATCAATCTATAGTCTGGATCAGTCTATAGCCTGGACTATAGATCAGTCTATAGTCTAGACTATAGATCAGTCTACAGTCTGGACTAAAGATCAGTCTATAGTCTGGACCATAGATCAATCTATAGTCTGGACTATAGATCACTCTATAGTCTGGACTATAGATCACTTTATAGTCTGGACTATAGATCACTTTATAGTCTGGACTATAGATCACTCTATAGTCTTGACTAAAAATCACTCTATAGTCTGGAATATAGATCACTCTATAGTCTGGACTATAGATCACTCTATAATCTGGACTATAGATCCCTCTATAGTCTGAAATATAGATCACTCTATAGTCTGAACTATAGATCAGTCTATAGTCTGGACTAAAGATCAGTCTATAGTCTGGACCATACATCAGTCTCTAGTCTGGACTATAGATTACTCTATAGTCTGAACTATAGATCTCACTATAGTCTGAACTATAAATCACTCTATAGTCTGAACTATATATCACTCTATAGTCTGGACTATAGATCACTCTGTAGTCTGGACTATAGATCACTCTGTAGTCTGGACTATAGATCAGTCTATAGTCTGGACTATAGATCAGTTTATAATCTGGACTATAGATCAGTTTACAGTCTGGACTATAGTTCAGTCTATAGTCTGGACTATAGATCAGTCTATAGTCTGGACTATAGTTCAGTCTAGAGTCTGGACTATAGATCAGTCTATAGTCTGGACTATAGTTCAGTCCAGAGTCTGGACTATAAGTCAGTCTATACTCTGGTGTACAGACCAGTTTATAATTTCCTATACAGATCAGTCTATAGTCCGGTCTACAGCTTAGTCTATAGTCTGGTCTACAGATCAGTCTATACATTATTCTATTGTCTTGTCTGCAGATCAGTCTATAGTCTAGTCTGCAGATCAGTCTATAGATTAGTCTATAGTTTGGTCTATAGATCAGTCTATAGTTTGGTCTATAGATCAGAGTATAGTCTGGTCTATAGATCAGTCTATATATTATTCTATAGGCTAGTCTGCAGATCAATATATAGTCTAGTCTGCACATCAGTCTATAGATTAGTCTATAGTCTGGTCTATAGATTAGTCTATAGTCTGGTCTATATATCAGTCTATAGTATGGTCTATAGATCAGTCTATAGTCTGGTCTATAGATCATTTTGTAGTATGGCCTATAGATCAGTCTATAGATTATTCTATAATCTAGTCTGCAGATCAGTCTATAGATTAGTCTATAGTCTGGACTATAGACCGCATTTATAGATTATTCTATAGTCTAGTCTGCAGATCAGTTTATCGATCTGTCTACAGTCTGATATATATATAAAAGTTAATACTTCCGACTATAAGTTAGTCTATAGTCTAGACTATAGATTAGTCTATAGGCTGGTCTACAAATTAGTTTAAACTGTGATCTACAGATCTCTTAATATTCTGGTCTATAGATCAGTTTATATTCTGGGTTGTGGATGGATATCTAGCTTGTTCTATAAATCTGCTTTTAGTGTGATCTTTAGATCATGTTTATATATCATTATCTACAAAAGCTATAATTAAACCTCCCTAAAAATTAAATTTTTTAGTTTTAAATTTAAACTTTTAATACTAATTAAATTTTTTTCTTCCCTTCTTTACTTACAGAGCTTTTGTAGACAACACCCACTTGCAAATATTGTATCTAAACAATAATCCCTTACTCAGTGATATACCCATGCGCATGTTCCAGGGAAATCCTAATATTGTAGAGGTCTACATGCAGGCCAATAGCTTACAAACCCTCTATGCTGCTCAATTCCCTATCGATCAATTGGAAAAGCTTTATTTGGGCGATAATCCGCTACAGTGTAATTGTACACTCTTCTGGCTGTGGCGTTTGGTAACGGGCAATTTTGATAATGGACAACAGGGTAATGAAATGAAACCGGATAATATGATGATGTCCCATGATGCCGGCTCTGTGGCAGCTTTGGGAGCAGATTTAAATTCCGAAACAGATGATAATCTAGTAAGAGTAGCGGCCTATGTGGCCGAACGTAAAAAGGATGTTAGTTCGAAATTTAAATATACCAATCCAGCGGCAACTATGAATAGTGGTTTTCTGAAATTGGATTCAGAACGTATAGGCTGTGAAATATGGCATGATAGTAAGAGAACACGTAAACATTTGGCAGCTATGACAGAGGGAGAAATCACCTGTCCCGCACATGTGGTAACTATAGTGTGTGCAGTGCTCACCTGTCTGCTGGTGGTAATGACCGGAGCCAGTATAGTATTCTATATGAGATTTGTGAAGCGTAGAAGGAAGTTAATGCATGATCGTAGTTTACGTTCTGGCAAATCAATAGTAAATGTACATGATCGTATTTTACCGCATCAACCTTTAAGTGCTCAAGCTAATGGTGGCATACCGGGGACACTAATGAATGGTTCATATCCCCATCATACTTTGCAAAGCCAAAGATCAACACTACCCCATCATAATATGCATCCGCTGCATCATCAGGACTATCATCAAACCATGCCTCAGGTGGATAAACTAGAGTTGGAGAGATATTTAACTGCCCAGGCTATAGCTAATGAATATAGAGCTTTAAAACCCTGGGAATTGCCACCTGTCAAGGATTCTAACACCTATACCGATGAACCTGAACATTTATATGAGAAATTCGATCATTATGACTATCCCGATGCACATACAATGTCAAAGACCACAAATGGTAAACATTTAATGAATAATCAAAATAAACATGCCTCAGCACAGCTTTTAAGCAGTAGTGGGGGCCTGAATAACGGTATTGGTAGTATGGGTAGTAGTGTTGTTGGTGGTGGTGGTGGTGTTGGTACTCTTAATAAACCTCATATAGTCTATGTATGATATAATGGTAGAGAAAAGTTGATCATTGATGAAGGATCAGGATCTACTAGTGATACTGTGGCATTAAGCAATTGTTTAAATAATAATTATAATACAATGTGTAGTTATATTAAATTAGTATAAAAATCGAAAAAAAAAACTTCTTATTAATACTAAAACTATCAAAACAAAGTATGTTAAACATTTTGGTTGAAAGCAAAAAAACGGCCAGTTTATTTAAATTATCATAAAGAAAAACTCCACAAAAAAAAGAAAAAAAAAACTTCTAACAGTTTCTCCTTAACTACTTACCCGATATTAACTACTTAGTAACACATTATACAAACAAAAAACACATACTCTTATATAAATAATTTAATAACATTAATTAACTTGGCAAAAACAGGGAACTTATTTAGCATGAACAAGGAAAAATAAATGAAATAATAAACTTTGTAGTAAAAAGTAAAAACTGAAAACTTAAAACAACTTACAAAGTATAGTAGAGGATTTATTTAAAATAAAGTAAATAAATATTTTCCAAAAAAAAAGATAAAAAACTTGGTAAAGAGGAACAGTTAAGAGAAACTTACTTAAAAAAACAAAAATTTATTGAAAGTTTTTAATTTTTACAAAATTTTTTTCAAGATTCAAATAAAAATTAAAGAGATTTTAAAGAAAATTTTAAGGCAAAACACAAAAAGCTTTTAAATAAAAGCTTTAAATTTAAAAAAAAAATTGAAAAGCTTTTTTTGCCAGATCTTTTCCAAAACTGCTTTAAAACCAAGGACTGCTTAAAAGCTACATACAATAAATCTTTTCCCCTAAAAGCTTTCATAATGAAAAAAGCTTTTTCATGAAAACATTTCAAATTTAGTTAAATCCATAAAATGATTTAAAATTGTAAAATGTTTAAGCTTTAATTGCATTTTTGTTGTATATGTAGTTAAAAGCTCCCAAATATATGTATAAAATTCTTTCAAAAAGCTTTAATTTAAAAAGCTTTTTAAAGAAAACTTGTTAAAGTGTGTTTAAAATAAGAATTCTGTAATTATTACTAGTATTTTAACCATAATTTGTATTAATGTAAAAAGCTCTATCGCTTAACAATATTCCGTGAAGCTTTTAATTGAAACGTTTTTATTTCAAAACTTAGCAGAGTTCAAATTTAGTTGTAGTAAAAATAACATTTCAACAAAAAGTTATTAAAAGCTCTTAGTTTGAAAAGTACTTTCTTTAAAAATATTCAAAGCTTTTAATCTTTAGTGCACAAAATGTTAATGAAGTCAGCAAAACTATTAAAAATTTAAATTTATTACATTTTTTTTAGAAAAAGCTCAAACTTTGTTTCATAAAAGTATTTCCAAAAGCTTCAATTTAAAAACGTTTTTATTAAAGACCTAAAAAAGTTAATTAAATAAGCAAATCGTTTAAAAACAAAAAGTATTTAACTTTCAGTTTAATTTAAAATAAAAAGCTTTCAAGCATTATTACATAAAAATGTTTTAAGCAGCTTCTAGTTACGAAGTTTTTTTCTGGGTATCACGATATTAGAGTTTACAATTAGTTGTAGTAGAATGTTTTTATATAAAAAGCTCTTATTTTAATAGGTTTTTTAATTGTCAAAACTTTCAAGCTTTATTACGCAAAAATATTTAGAAAACATCTAGTTAAGAAAATATTTCTAAAAGTTTTCATGTAATCGTAGTAAAACAAAATTAAAAAACTTTTATGATGACAGTTTTAAAAAAGCTTTTAGAATAAAAGTTTTAAAAAGCTTTTATAATAAAGGTTTGAATAAAGCTTTTACAACAAGATTAAAAAAAAGTTTAAAAAATATAAAAATGTTAATGAAGCATTTATGATAAAAGTTTAAAAAAAGCTCTTAAAATAAAAGTTTAAAAAAGCTTTTAAGAAAATGTTTGAAGAAGCTTTTATGATAAAAGTTTGAAAAAAACTTTAAAAAATGTTTTTATTATGAAAGTTTTGATAAAAGTTTTATGGCAAAAGTCGTAAAAAAGTTTTAAAAAGATTTTATAATAAAAGCTTGAATAAAGCTTTTATAACAAAATTAAAAAAAAAAAAACTTTAATAATAAAAGTTTTAAAAAAACTTTTATAAAAACTTTTAATAAAGCTTTTATAAAAACTTTTAATAAAGCTTAAAAAAAGGCTTTTAGCTTCGAAAGCTCCATATAAAAAAATGGGATATAAAGCAATTAGTTGAACAAAATACTTTGTTCTTTCTATTTCTATTTATAGTTTAAAAGCTCTGGTAAAGTAATAAAAGCTTGACTAAAAAATAACTTAGAAAAGTAAATAAAGTTTTCCTATATGAAGGCTCAAAGTTAAAGTTCATTGTGTATAAAAAATTGCCTTAAAAAAAAAACTTAATTAAATTCAACAAAAAAAGCTTCAAGCTTTAACTTTAATTACCTGTTATATGGTCAAAAGCAATATGTCATTTATTACCTTTAATAATTTTTCCAATTTTCATTAAAATCTCTTTAATTTGTTACCGATTTTTTTCTGTTCTTTATAAACACAAACATATTTTTTTAGTTAAAAAATTTATGAGCTTTTGTTTAATGGAAAATAACAACAAGAAGAAAAAAACCAACTATACAAAACAAATTATTATTAAATATGTATTTATATATAAATAATAAATAAAAGAAAAACAAAATAAATAAATAAAATAACAAGCAAAATGAAACAAGGGATTATATAAAATTTAAATTAAAAAACAAAAAAAAAAAAAAAAACAAAAAAAGAATATTTTTATTTTCAAATATTTCATTACTAATAATAACTAGAATTCATAACACCATAAATTAAAAATTTAAATTGAACAAGAAAAAAACCGAAAATAAATATTAATAAAAAACAACAACAAAACATTATATAATGAAAAAACAAAATGGTAAAAAAACCTAGAAATTATAAATAAATAAATACTAAATTAATGGCAACAAAAAAACAAAAATATTTATTTAACAGTTTAAGGCCAATATACTGTAATAAAGTGTTACTTTTTTTTGCTAAAAAAAGAAATTATGGAAAAATTATATAAAATTGTAAATACAGCAAAATAGTTTAAAAATAATACAGAAATATATATTTGCATATAAAAAAAATACTTGAAAAGGAAATAAATCAAAAGAATTTATAACAATTATTATCGATTTTGATTTAGTAATTTTGGGGAATTAACAGTTTAGTTTGATTTGGTGGAAGTTGATAAATATAAAAAAATTGTATACGATTTTAGAACCAAACTTTTTGCAATAGCCTGGCAACATGTTGACAATTTAAAATGTTTAGCTACATGTTTAGAAACATCTGTAAAGTGCCGTATTACTAGTCTAGTCTATAGTATAGTCTATAGTCTAGTCCATAGTATAGTCTATAGTCTAGTCTATAATCTAGTCTATAGTCTACTCTATAGTATAGTCTATAGTTTAATCTATAGCCTAGTCTCTAGTCTAGTCTATCGTCTAGTCTATAGTCTAGTCTATAGTTTAGTCTAGTCTATAGTCTAGTCAAAAGCCTAATCTAAAGTCTATTCTATAGTCTAGTCTATAGTGTAGTATATAGCCTAGTCTAAAAACTAGTCTATAGACTACTCTATAGTCTAGCATATAGCATAGTCTATAGCCTTGCCTAGGGTCTAGTCTAAAGGCTATTCTATAGACTAGTCTATAGTCTAGTCTATAGTCTAGTCTATAGTCTAGTCTATAGTCTAGTCTATAGTCTAGTCTATAGTGTAGTATATAGTCTAGTCTAAAATCTAGTCTATAGACTACTCTATAGTCTAGCATATAGCCCAGTCTATAGCCTAGTCTATAGTCTAGTCTATAGGCTATTCTATAGAATAGTCTAGACTATAGTCTAGCCTATAGTCTAGTCTATAGTCTAGTCTATAGTCTAGTCTAGTCTATAGTCAAGTCTATAGTCAAGTCTATAGTCTTGTCTATAGTCTAGTCTATGGTCTAGTTTACAGTCTAGTATGTAGTCTAGTCTATATCTAGTTTATAATCTAGTCTATAGTGTAGTCTATAGTGTAGTCTATAGTCTAGTCTATAGTTTAGTCTATAGTCTAGTCTATTGTTTAGCCTACAATCTAGTCTTTAGTCTAGTCTATAGTCTAGTCTATAGTCTAGTCTATAGTCTAGTCTATAGTCTAGTCTATAGTCTAGTCTATAGTCTAGTCTATAGTCTAGTCTATAGTCTAGTCTATAGTCTAGTCTATAGTCTAGTCTATAGTCTAGTCTATAGTCTAGTCTATAGTCTAGTCTATACTCCAGTCTATGGTCTAATCTATGGTCTATAGTCTGGTATATAGTCTAGTATATAGTCTATTCTATAGACTAGTCTATAGTCCAAAGTCTAGCCTATAGTCCAGTATATTGTTTAGTCTACAGTCTAGCCTATAGTTCACTCTATTGTCTAGTCTATAGTCTAGTCTATAGTCCAGTCTATACTCTAGTTTATCGTGTAGTTTATAGTCTGGTCTATCGTCCAATCGATAGTCCAGTCTATAGTCTAGTCTAAGGACTAACATATGTTCTAGTCTATAGTCTAGCTTATAGTCCAGTACATTGTTTGGTCTACAGTCTAGTCTATAGTCCAGTCTATGGTTTAGTCTGCAGTCTAGTCTATAATCTAGTCTATAGTCTAGTTTATAGTCTAGTCTATAGTCTAGTCAATAGTACAGTCTATGGTCTAGTCTATAGTCTAGCCTATAGTCCAGTCTATGGTCGAGTCTATACTCTAGCCTATTGTCCAGTCTATGGTCTAGTCTATAGTCTAGTCTATAGTATAGTCTATAGTCTAGTCTATAATATATTCTGTTGTATAGTCTATAGTATAGTCTATTGTGTAGCCTATAGTCTAGCCTATAGTCAAGGCTATAGTCTAGTCTACTCTGTAGTGTCGCCTGTAGTGCAACTCTAGCAGAAAATTTCTTTAGTACTTTAAGATCTAACTTGCAACATTTGAAATGTTTAGCAACATGTTTACGAACACTAGTAGAGAACGTACATATATACAAAACTATAACTTTCTGTCTTTTTTAAAAATCCTCTAACCAATAAAACAAACTGTTATTCTGCTCTCTCTCTTTCTACTTGCACATAATTTTGTACTATTTTCTTTTCAAAAAAGTATATATTTTTATAAAAATCAAAAAAATATTTAAAACAAAAACATTTATAAACAAAAGTTCCTCTGCTTTATATCAGTTCTTTACCTTTCTTTAAATTTAATACACTTTAATATTTTGTTAAAAAAACTTTTAGTTTTTAGTTATATTTTTATTATTTTAAATAATTTTTTTCTTTTCTTTCTTTTTTTTCTATTACAGGTTAATATGTTTAAGTAACTTAAAATAAAATGACAATATTAAAAAGCAAAAAATATATATAAATAAATTAAAATTAATTATTATCTATTGTATATAGTATAAACTTACATTTAAAAAGCAAAAACTTTAATTATAAAAACCAACCATTATTAAAACAACAAATTTGTAAATAATTTCATAAATAAAA